GGAGCAGGCCTAAGCCAGCAGGTCGTTATCTCCCGAGTTGTCCCAGATTGCGAGAGGGCAGAGGCCGGGTTGAGGGACCCCCTCTGCCCCCGAGTGCACAAATTTTTGTGCACCAGGCCTCTAGTTATGTTATATGAAATTATGACTTTGTTATTTTCTTTATTTGGAGACTAAGCAAGGTTTAAGAAAATGTTTATGAGAATCAAATTGACAAGGTCTAGACTTGAGATGGTTAATTTATGTATCAACTAGTGGCCCAGTGCACAAAATTCATGCACTTGGGGAGGGGGGTCCCTTAGCCTGGCCTGCACCCTCTCACAGTCCGGAAGCCCTCAGGTGATGTCCGACTGATGCCTTAGGCCAGCTCCCAATGGGCCTAAGCCGTCAGTCAGACATCCTTCATGCTGCCACAGAGGCAGGAGAAGCTCCTGCCACTATCGCTGTACTCACAACTGCACTCACCAGCCGTGAGCCTGGCTTCTGGTCGAGCTGCGATCCCCCTGTGGGAGTGCACTGACCACCAGGGGACAGCTCCTGCATTAAGCATCTGCCCCTGGTGGTCAGTATGTGTCATACCAACCCACAATTGGCTATTTTTTCAGCTTTAAATGGATTTGTATATTATCCTTTTATTATATAGGATTTGACTAGGGTATAGGATATGCATAGTACATATTATTTCTGTGAGAGTGTTTTCAGATGTGATTAGCATTTGATTCTCTGCCTGAATAAAACAGATTGCCCTGTCCCAAATGTGGGTGAATATCATCCAATCCCTGAAAAACCCAACTAGAACAAAATGGCAGAGGGGTGGAGTGGTATTTGCTCTCTGTTCCTGCCCTCATCTGGAACTTACACCATCAGTTCCCTGGATCTCAGAATTATATCAATACTTTCCTGAGTCTCCAGCTTGCATAGCAGATTGTGGGATTTCTTAGCCTCCATCATTAAGTGGGACAATTCCTTGTAATAAATTTCATATTGGTTCTGGTTCTCTGGAGCACCCTGATTAATACAGGCAGCATACGCTTATTTCAGATAGTGATATTTCATATGGATTAGTTCTGTGTATGAAAGATCCCACTTTATCAATACTAATGCCTTTTTCAGTAAAATCTACTATATCTGCCATTAGTCTAGTTTGAACTTATGTTTTATGGTTAATATGCTCATGTTACATACTTTTCCATTCTGTTTTTTTTTATATTAAAAGCATACCCAACTTAATCGTTATATAATTTTATAATTCAAGTGAAAATTAGCTTGAAAATTTTCTCATCCAAGTAAATTCAATATAATTACTGATATCTACCTTATTACTTTGTATCCATTTGATTGACCTATTTTTATTCCTTATATTCATTTTTACATGTCTTTATTTTGGATAATTGCCCTAACTGGTTTGGCTCAGTGGATAGAGCATCGGCCTGTGGACTCAAGGGTCCCAGGTTTGATTCCGGTCAAGGGCATGTACCTTGGTTGCAGGCACATCCCCAGTGGGGAGTGTGCAGGAGGCAGCTGATCGATGTTTCTCTCTCATCAATGTTTCTGACTCCCTATCCCTCTCCCTTCCTCTCTGTAAAAAACCAATAAAATATATTCCATTTTACCTCTATTGATTGCTTTGTTATATTTAATTATTCTTTCAGACATTACCCTAGAGATGACAGCATACATTCTTACCTTAATTAGTTTTCAGATTATTAGAATAAAAAACCTTAGAATATTTTAACTTAATTTATCTCTTCTTACCAATTATGTTGTTGTTGTTGTGCAGTTCAATTCTATATATCTCAAAATCTTCCTGAACTTATTATCTTCTTACACCATTACTATTAAATCAATATTCATTTATTTTATCTAATTTTTACAATTGCCCTTCTTGCATCTCTGTGCTGCCTTCTAACGGATATTTTTCTTTAATGACAGAACTGTTTACAACACACTTTTGAGCAACACATCTTTACTTTATTATAAATATTTTATTTGAATATTGAATTCTAGATTTTTCATTTTGTGTTATTATATATGTGTTCTGATATATTTAGTTTTAAAAATTCTTAATAATTATCTTTTCAACTAACCTTTTGTCCTATGTTTCTCTGTTCTTTGTGTCCTGTGACTGATTTTATTTTACTAAATCCCATAGTAAAAAAATATGTATTCTGTGTACTTTTTATAAAAATAATTCTGGATATTTCTCCTAACCATTTTTCCAGTACATAATCCCCTCTTCTGCTGTCAATTATTGTATGAATAATTCTTGAATTCTCAACACCAATTATTTAAGATCATTAATTTATACCTCTTTTATGAAAATGATGTTCTAATTGTTTTTAGAGACTGTGCTAACTACATGTATAGCTTCTTGAGTCTCTTTCTATTTCTGTTATTTTCATGGTTTTTTGTCATTTGAAACTCCCTTGGTATGCTTTGACTTTTTCACTGTATACTCAAAACCATACAAATGTTAAAGGCTCTGGATAATGACTTATTCCCACAAATAGGATTTGATTTAATCTGGCACACACAGGTACAGGCAGACATCCTTGACCAAAACAATAAATAAGATTATTCAAATCTGTTATCATTTACAATAAACATTACCATTATTGCCTTAGTCACTTTTCTTTTAGAGCAATTAAAATGAGAAAAAAAGGATTATATTTTACTTCCCTTTATTCCAGTTTTGAAGCTCTTCACTTCATGGAGAAAATTTAATTTTTTTATTTAAAATATTTTGTTTCTGTCAATAGGAAATCCTTTAACATTTCTTGTAAGGTAGGTTTCTTGACAATGCATTCCCTTGGTTTTAATGAGTTTTTACTTCGCTTTCATCTTTGAATGTAGAATTCTAGGTTGTGACTACATACCTTTTGTGCTTGTATTGCTTCTGATGAGAAATCAGAACTAATTGTTATTTATGTCTATATGTCGTAAATATGTTTTTCCCCTTGCATGCCTTCAAGATTTTCTTTTTGCCTTGTCATTTTTTTTCAGCTTTAAATAGTTGTGCCTAGTTGCTTTCCTCTTTTTGTGTTCTCTCAGTTTCTTCAACTTATGTTTTGTCATTTCTCAATACTTTCAGATTTTCAGCCATTTTACATACACACATACACACACTATTGGAATTAGATGTGATCCACCATTGGGGAAAGTAAGTGAATTATAAATATAGTAAAGAGAAGAGCATTGGGGATTCTAATATTCAGGAATCAAGTACAGGAGG